TTGAAATTTCAGTTCAGAATTAGATGTAGGTCCCATATATAGTTTCATCCGATTTTAGGTAAATGGTGCACCAAACTCCCAATATTGGTCCGATTGAGAAAAAATTTTGCACAGAGTGCTGAATTAGGTCTAGATTGATGTATGCCAAGTTTGGTTGAAATCGGTTCAGATTTAGATAGAGTTTCGTCCGATTTTATGTAAATGGAGCACCATACTGCCAATATTGGTTCGATTGAGACAAAATTTAGCATAGCGTATTGAAGTTACTACAGGCTGACGTACGTATTGAAACTACTGCAGGTTGACGTCCCCGAAATGTTGTTGAAATAGGTTATATAATTTTTGCCAATATTTCGCTGGAATCGGTCCAGATTTAGATATAGCTCCCATATATAGTTTCGTCCGATTTTACGTAAATGGACCCCGTCCGACTTTTGAACTTTCCTTACTGCTTTTTTAATTCCATTCCCATCAGGCTTAAGGACATGCATGAGGGCTTGGAGAGACAGACTAACTCTCTCCTCAATTTAATGGAGGAAAATGAGTCTTTGCGTCTTAGCACGGATGAAAATCTGGCTTTTCTCTCGGATGATTCTTTCTAGGGGGACTAGAATGATGCCATGAATACCATTGTGTGTCAACACATCGGCATCTAGGAAAAACATCAAATGTGGTACGAAATACCCATCCTGAATACTCGGCTGATGAACTTCCAATCGATATAATGGATGATTCATCAACAGAAATATACAGCAGAAATATTTAACGATAATGAAATACTGATGATCTTGTTCAAGGGTCACATTCGTCCGATCTGCAGATAGACGAGTCTATTAGACCTACTATTAGATGAGGAAGAGTTGGAAACGGTCGAACTACTATGAACATGCTATGCTGAATATGCAAGAGATTCAGTTATTTGATAATGTTATCTTTCTACTCCTCCCGCTCCTCTCGTCGATCCCCCTCTACCACTAGTAAGAAAAAACAACATAAATATAATATTATTGCACTTTTACCTTTTGATGTAACCGAGACAGAATCGTAAGTTCACATTTTCATCAGCAGTGTACGTCCTATTATTATAATAGTCAATGAATATTGCTCTGTCAGCCAGGAAAACACTCCATCACAAGTAACTTACCAGCTTCTTGTCACCATACAATTTAAATAATTTTTACTATATCTTCGTTGGCATTGAGAAGAGGATATATTAGTACGCGTTCTTGAAGAACCTAATTTACTAGTTGCTGTAAATTAGGTTCTTCCCCCCAAATATACGCAGATTTCGACTGGCCGATTTTTGATATTTCAAAACACACCTGAAATGACGGCCACATGATCATCCGAAGTGACCTTAATTTCAAGTTGATGGATGATTTGGCATAGTTCCCCATGTAAGGTCTGGAGCAATTTAAAATATTTTTAAGATTCTAGTATAATTTTCCAATCAAAGTGTATGTACTATTGTATTTTGTGTTCTTAGAGGATAGCCTTTCTACATGAAGGAATTTAGAAATTTACAATTTTGGTTTTTCGAAGAATAAGATCATACAGGCAGATTTTTTCTTATAAATGTTGGATTTTTTCTTTGAGTTGGAATTTGGAATTTTAATGGCTCTAGCCGGATTTCTGACATTTTTGTAATTTGGCCTTTTAGCTTCTCAAAGGATACAAATCTACTAGCGGACATGTAAGTCCATGTTTTGATTGATATTTTTTATATTCTATATACTGCTTTCCCATACTTCAAACTTTTTTTCAGCCGGTTGGAAGTTTTTTTCTGATATTTTGGGTACTAATTGGAATACCTGTTTCAAAAGTTTATAACCTAACTGACCTACAAGCTTCTTAACGCAAGTACGCAAGTCGAATCTACTTTTTTTTCATTAATTGTTATTAAACGAAATCTAGCCAAATACGATTTGAAATACATTTGGCCACAATTGTTATTTTTTGTATTCCCAATTCAATTTATGACGTCAGAGGAGAGGGAATCGCACAAAACGGTGATAACTAATTTCGAAGATAAATGCCATCAATATAAGTGAGCAGCAGCTGACAGCCATGATAAGCCCGTTAATGACAACAAAAGTCTACTCCTGACGTTGGCCCTCCAAAACACCATCCCATCCTTCATAGGTGATAACAAATATAGCTAAGTGACAACAATGTAGAACAACAACAATAACGTATAGTCGTAGTAGTATACCAGTTGAAATGTAGGTATTCGGAGAATAGTACTGGCGGAATTGAATTCGTTTTTATCTTCTCTTTTACAGTTGAGAAACTGAAACAACAACAATAAATTTAAATTATTGTTTTAAATACACAAGAACAACAACAATAAGAAATTATTATTATTCTTTTAAAATAATGAGACGACTCTTGCTCATGGGAAATGAGCATTATTGCACCCAAGAGTTAGTCAGTTGATTGGGCGCACTTGTGTATGACAGTCGTAATTGTGGTTGGCGCGTTTTTTTGCTTTTGTTTCGGGAAAAAAGACGAATGTATTTTTAACGGTCATAAAGATTTGGAAATCATAACGAAAATTTTTATTTTTTAATTGTGTTTGTGTGTGAGGAATTTGAATATTTTTATTAGCCATGGAATGGACATGGCTTAAAGATTGGTGGCGCTTAAAAAAATATCGTTCCCAGCAAAAACGCCGTAAATTAAAACATGCCCATTTGATGGGTGATCATCCCACAACGCCTACATCGGGGGAAAATTGCAATGAAAATGACAATGCATCCAATCCGAATGGTGATGAAGGTCATCATCACCGCCGCCGCTTGACTGATGATGACACTGTGGAAATTGATCCCAATAATATAAAATGTAAAATGCGAAGAACTAGAAGACAACGACGACGTCGTAGTCGTGGTTGTCAAAATGCACCAAGAAGGGGGTCAGCGATTAACAAAGAAAATGCCAATAAAGAAGGCATAGCCAAACAAGATAATTATTATGCAAATGCGAACGTTGATGGTGATGATGATGATGACGTTGAACGCAATGTTGAATTTGAGGACGGCTACGACGATGACTACTACTATGACAATGATGATGAGGAAGATGATGATGAAGTCGATGACTTTTGCTATTGTGATGAATGTTTGAATGTAGGTTTCTCGTACACTTTTGTTATGGTTTTTCTTTTATTTTGTGTTTTATTTTGATTATTGTTTTCGTCTTATTTTATTATTTTGTTATCATTGCAGCCACTAAAAGTGGCATTGTCGTCACGAACTATTTAAATATTTTTCTAAATATTGACATTTGTTGTTCGTTTGTTTATTAGAAACTTTGTTTCCGCTTATTGTTCGTTACGTATTCTCTATGATATTTACCGCCAAAAAATATTCATAGATTCTTAATTGGTCATTTAAAATATTTTGTGTATGCACAATGTGTGCATCATTTATCTGCCCACCCATTTTGCCAACTAGGGGAGACTGGGGCACCTTCGGCAATCGCGTTTTCGATATGAAGCTCTCACCATACATCACTAGTTTCGATACATTGGTATCGAATATCGAAATAAATAACTGACACAAAGTATGAAATTTCTAGCTAATAAACTTATTTAGATACATGGGTTTTTATATTTTTATAGATGTTTCTGTAATATTTCAATTCCACTTCGTAAGTATTTCGCGTATAAAACTTTTTAAATTTTAAGACAATATTATTAAAAAGTGGTTAACTACGATATGTATTATTATAGAAATGTTTAAAAATATAATGTTTTTAAAAACTGATCGAAAAAAATGAAAAAAACTATAAAAAGTACATTCGGGGTACATTCGGCATTTTAAAGTGGGGCACATTCGGCCATATACAGATTGTGCAATATTATTTCCTTAAAATGTTTTTGAGTTTGTCTTTAAAACTAATCCTTTAATATGGTCCGAAATTGCATATATAATATCAAACGTACTTGTATTGACGAAAATGCGATAGAAAACCCTTATTTCTGATGTTGTGTGCGAGCTTGAGATGTAAACGTACGCCGTTAGAAAATAAAGCCCTATAATTCAAACATTGTGTGGCGTATTTAAACCAAATAGAGCCTTTATAGGATCCGAATTTCAACCAGACTGATAGCGATGACAATTACCCGGCTATGACTATGTTGCCGAATGTGCCCCATCAAATGCCGAAGCTACCCCGGGTTGGGGCACATTCGGCGAATTTGACTTTTTTTACAAAACTGTAAAATTTTTTAACTAATACTATTTTTGTATATCTTTTTGGTACTATTTTTTATAATTAAGTGTCTGAGGACAATAATCAGCCATAAAGTTGTTATATATGTTGAATAAGTACTGAGATATAGAGCTCTAAAAAAAAAAGTGCCGAAGGTGCCCCAGTCTCCCCTATATCATGGACTATTTGCATTTACAATTGTTTTGTTCATAAATTATATAGTCGGAACATCACCACTATCTTTGTTTGCGTATTTAGGGAACAGGGTCAGCGATTCTCCCCATTTTTTTACAAAGCTTTATCAAATTGTTTGGCAAATATTTATTTCGAGATAAGCGAATTTGGATGGCAAAACAATTTAATGCTTCAGTAGTATATATCAAAACTTCTATATGTCTTCCGAACTGTGGATTTTTTAAAGAATATTTTTTCAAAAACAAAAAAGAATTTGTTTAAGAATATTTTTTAATTTCCATTATAAGATTGGATTTTTTTGTAATAAGCTTAGATATTTAATTTTTTAAACGTGGATTTTTTCAAAAATATTATTTTATGCAATATTTTTTAAGTTCCATTTCATTATTCAAAGAGTATTTCTTTAACGTGAATTTTTTTAAATATATATTTTTAAAGTCTATTACAAGTACTCATTTTATAAGGAATATTTTTCAGGGTCCTTTCTAACCCTGGATTAAAAAAATATCTAAATCTAAACCAATTTCAACACAAGTTAGAAAACATCAATCTGGTCTTAACTCAGAACGCTGTGGACAATTTTGTCTCAATCGGGCAAACATTAGGAGTTTGGTGCATCGTTCATCTAAAATATAACTTCGTCCGATTTTAGATAAACGATGCACCAAACTCCTAATGTTTGTCCGATTGAGACAAAATTCTCCACAGCGTACTGAGTTAAGACCAGATTGATGTTTGGGAGCTATATCTAAATCTGAACCAATTTCAACAAAACTTCACGGACTTCAACCTCTAGTAATTTGAGTATGATGTCCAAAATTTTGTCTCAATCGGACAAATATTGGCAGTATGGTGCTCATTTACATAAAAGCAGACGTAACGATATATGGGAGCTATATCTAAATCTGAATCGATTTTCTCCAATTTCAATAGGGTTCGTCCTTGGAACAAATAAGTGACCTGTGCGAAATTTTTATCCAAATCGGATCATAAATGCGACCTGTTCTTTGTTAACAAAAATACATGGACGGACAGGCGAACATGCATAAATCGACTCAGAAAGTAATTATATGCATATTTTCAAAAGGACATGTGTCTATCACGTTTCCTATTGCCTGTTACAAACATACCACACTTCACAAATATGGACGATTCTGTGGGTAGGAACTGGATGGTATCAGAGAAATGTTCTATTACGTATCATAGTATGACATTCTTCCAGATAAAAAATAAAATAAAACAGAATACCAGATAGGCGAAGTATTGGCAAGTCTCCTGGGAAGAAATAGAGGACTAAGCGAATCTTGGGTGTGCAGGTAGTATTAATGGAATGGGCTAGCTTTGGTAAAGAGACTCTAAACCTAATCTATCTCCATGGTGATGAACGACAAAAACGTCATCATCAGTCTTTTAAATCTTTTGGAGTTTGTCTGTGTTTATAATTCATACCAAGTCTGTGAAAGAACGTAAATTTTACCTTTATTATTCCAGCTTCCTCTTGACACCGTTTCTGGATATTAAAAGAGCCTGAAATGTATGTATGTATACCCAAACCTAAGGAAGGCTTTTAAAAGAGGTACGACACAGGAAACGGTAAATACCTTCCCTGTCGTGACTTATGATCATAATTATCATGAGTCACGACTAAATTTTTACCAAACATATCCTCCGATATCATGCAGATTGATTTTTTTGTCAAATTGGATACAAGTCGATGATCTTGGGATCAATCGTAAGACAGAATTAATAATCTTCCCTATGAAGCGTAAAACCCCAAAATTCCCTCTATCCACGTTGAATGGAGCAGAACAAACAAACTGGACATTAAAACTGAAAATCCTACAAGTTTGGTCTCCCTAAACTACCCTAAGGTTTCAGGTTTGTTGGCAGGAACTTATGAAACGAACGCTACTGTCAAGGATAAAAACTATTCATTAATCGACAAAAGAACACCTCAAATTATTTTGAACGTGATCCATAATCTCCAGCCACTGGACCTTTTGGTTAAGCTCCAATCAACAACAATTAGACTTAAAGAAATATGCCCTCAAGCACAGTAGATATTATAACTGGACACTGCCGAATCTGGCCTCTCACATCTAATTGAGATGTCAATGGAATGGACTATTGGCGTCTATGTGAAGATAAGGAATATTTAAAAACGATCGCATATATCCTATGTACATATGAAATACAGCATAGCAAAATACACCAATTGTTCATCAGATAGCTTTGCTGCTTTAGTTATTACACCCTCTCTATCTTCACAATTCCTCTGTTCTTACTTGCAAGGATACGAGGATCTCAAAAATTATAACCATAACATATACACCCTAAGGTTTATTAAAGCATGGATAATAATAATTAATAATTTTCAAGGTCCATTATATATATTATAAGTAAAAGATTAAAATATTATTTTTCAACGCCAATTATTAAAGTATATTTTTTTAAGAATATATTTTTAAGGATCGATCAATGCGTGGATATTTTCATATATTTTTTTTCAAGGCACATTATAAGCGTGAATGTTTTATTATTATTTTAAAAACCTATATAATAAGTAATGTGTTCTTATACACATATAATAAAATTACCCTATTGCACCAGGCATTTACCTTGCCCGTAATGTCTCTATAAAAAAAACTGACAACGACAACCAGAAAACAAATTGAAATTTTGTTTCTATTATTTTATTTCGAATGCTAAATTTTCGTTAAAAGCACGTATATTTTTTAATATTCATCAAACCGAAAGAGTAATGCATAATTCATTTATATTGCTTCTAGGGCGACACCGATTTCTGTGAAAGTAATGACGGCATGGATTCCGATGCCAGTACATCCTCGAATACCGGTAAACAAGTGGTTGTGGGCATATGTGCCATGGCCAAGAAAACCCAATCGAAACCAATGAAAGAGATTTTGACACGTTTACAAGAATTTGAATTCATTAAAATGGTCATATTCGAAGAGGATGTTATTTTGAAGGTAAGTCTATTCAAATTTCATAAAGAAATCATAATCTATATTGATTTTTTTGTTTTGTTTATTTTTGTAGGAACCTGTCGAAAATTGGCCCATCTGTGACTGCCTAGTTTCTTTTCATTCTAAAGGTTTTCCCCTAGAGAAGGCCATACAGTATGCTCAATTGCGTAAACCATATGTTCTAAATAATCTTCATATGCAGTATGATATACAAGATCGTCGCCGGGTCTATGCTATATTGGAGAAGGAAGGAATTGAAATACCACGTTATGCGGTATTAGATCGTGATTCACCAGATCCAAAACGTAAGTAAAATAAAATAAATCATTTTTTTCAAACATTATACTGGGACGTATTTAATAACAAAATCTCCCAAAGGTTAGTTTAGGATTGGTTATGTGAAGCCACTAATGTGACTGCAGAACTCTGAGACCGTCCGGTCCATTGGGAGAAAGGGGGGATAGAAAAGATAAGAAACTAACAAGAAGTACTAGGAGGTAGGTGGGAAATAGTTTCGATGGCTATAGAAATTGAACAGAAAACATATTACGTACGAGGTCGCATAATTGTACGCATTGGTTCAAAGTCATACCTAGTTCGTGCAACATACATCCATGCCCACAGGTACAATTTCGCCATAGATTTTGTTCGAGCAGTGTTAGGGCCTTTTTTCTGGGACAGATCGAAGGCCTGGAATTATATAAGAATATTTTTCAAGGGCAACCAAGGCCTGGACGCATTTAAGATAATTTTGTTTGGGCAGCCATGGCTTGGAATTATCAAAGAATATTTTTCCAGAGGCAAATAAGGTCTGGATTTATCTAAGAATATTTTTTCGAAGGCAACCAAGTCCTGGATTTATTTAAGAATATTTTGTTACGGCCAACCAATATTCTATGAACATTTTTCAAGCGCTCCCGTGATACTAGTGTTTTAGGACAGGAATAGAACCATAATTCTTTTCAAACATTTTATGGCATTGTGTCTATGTACAAGTGTCCTAACGAAATTATTCCCCTTGTGTATTTTCAGAACATGAACTAATCGAATCCGAGGATCATGTTGAAGTTAATGGTATTATATTCAATAAACCATTTGTTGAGAAGCCCGTTTCGGCGGAGGATCATAACATTTACATTTATTATCCAACATCTGCCGGTGGCGGTAGTCAACGTTTATTCCGCAAGGTTTGCAACAATAATCCGAAATTATCTTTAACCTATATATACACGTATATTATTTTCTTCTAGATCGGTAGCCGTAGCAGTGTTTATTCTCCAGAGTCGCGTGTTCGTAAAACTGGTTCATTTATTTATGAAGATTTTATGCCTACCGATGGTACGTATTAAATGTTTTTTACCTTTGTTTTTGTCATAATGTTATTTTATTATTATTATTTTTCTCTTTTTTGTGTTGTTTTTAAGAAAAACAAAACAAATCGCCAGACTTTGTTTCTTAAAAACTGATTTAAAAAAACTTCTTTTTTTTTTTAATATACTTTTTAATGACAATATTTTTTCCAAGTTTTATTTTTGTGTTCTTTGTTTTCTCTTGAATGTTGCTTTTCTATTTTTATTTATTTAAATGAAGCCTCAATTTTTTTTATAAAACTCAATTTGCTTGTGATTTTTGGTTGAATATTTTTGTTGTGAAGTTAATTTTTTTCTTTCTCTTGAATATTGTTTTCAAATGCTTCTATAAATTATTGTAATTACAGAAGTGTTAATAATTATGAATATGAATCTTGTTCACTAATGTTGTTGTTTTCTTTAACTAAAAACAATTGTAGAAATGTTCGTTCTAATAGAGCTTTGTAGGTAACAATTTCCATTTCAAAACATTCAAAACACATCCCTTTATTACCATTACATCAACTCTAATACATTGCCATTTTAACAATATTGTTCATGTTTCTCATCTAGCCACATGATATCATAGATAGAAAAACATCTTACCTGTTCGAAAATGTTGATGCATAATAACAGATAAGTATATTTCAAGCTCGGCTTAATTGATTTAAAGGACTTAATATAATTAATTTAATTTAAATGATTTAATATAAATAAAATAGTTATGGTGACTATGTATGTCAATATGTGTCCATAGATTATTTATGTTACATGATGTACAACAGCCAGTTGTTTAGCCATCGTTTCACATGGATACTTTTGTCCAATAGGCTCATACTGTGTTTCTGATAAGATAGAAAAGCAGATAAGGGATAATTGTAAACCCTTTGTTCAAAAGTGTTTCCCCTAATTATCTTAAAAAATAGAGGAAATGAATTTAGATGTTATATATATTTTTTTGTCCAATTTTTGGAATTCTATTCTCTGAATAATTATGTTGAAATTCTCAATATTGAGGTAGATTGCTATATAGTCACTAAAATGGTTATAATTTCCCAGAATATCAGGATATCTACTTAGAAGCGGCAATATACAGAGTGACAGGTCCTCCACGCTTTTATTTTTTGGACCTTTGGGCACTTCTGGTGGCTTACAAATTCTGCAAAAAGGTCCAGTGGCTGGAGATTTACGACCTCATTCAAAGCATCCAGGGATGTAATTCTGAGAGCACACGTTATAAGCAGCCATATCGATCGTTTCATATTATTTACCATTGTCAGGAACGTTTGTTTATCAAGTGCTTGTTATATAGAGAATTTTGGAATTTTACGTTTTAATGAAGATGGACAATTCTGTTTTTGTAGCGTTGACCTCAGGATCATTAAGCATTCTGCATTTTATCGGATATGGTTAACTAAAATATACCACTTATCAACAAAACTTCACCATCAGCATAAGATACAGCCTTTTTTTGAGATGGTCGAACTTCACCAGGATCTCATTTATCTCCAAGAACCACAATAGGACAGAGAGTACGCCTCCTTGCGACGTGTTTTCCTTACGGAACTCTCTACAACATATGAATTGATATTTCTGCTTCCCAACGTTTATTTCATCAATAAACTCAATTAGGTCGAGGGGACACCTGTGCTTTCAAGAGCAGAATGGATAGATTCCATCGCTTAGTCTGTTAATGGTAAGATGTGGCTAGGTTCCCGCGAAGAACACCAGTCATATTGCGAGCGATTGAGGAAAAAATTCATTTAAATGTTATGAAGTCCGAAAAATCTATGTATATATACGATATAATGGGACCTACCAAATAATTGGACAATGGCAACTGAAGGTTGTCTATAACATGGAAAATTACTGGTTGTCATCGAAAATCCGGTCCGACATCAATTAGACCGCTTTTCGAGGCATTGTACAGCAACAGAATGTATTTTATATTCTGCGGATGAAAATATTGAAAGCTCCCTGGGATTTAACTCAGTATAACACCTGTCGCAGTAGATCTTAAGTTGCATCAGTCCAGAGCAGCTGCGGATAAATCAAACTAGTTCGGGGTTAGTTTCTGCGGAACTCGGCACAAGATAATTTGGATATAAAGTCTCTCGTATATTAGAACAATATAAAAAAAACCAGCTTCGATGTTAATACTACATATTTCGAAAATCACGCAAACTTTAGGGCTTGTTTACATTCTAGTGCAAGGGTCCATTCCTAATATCAATTGATATTTTTAAATAATATATGAGAACATAAATACTAAGGTTTATAGTACTCGTAAATACAACTTTAAGAGGACAGATAATAATTATAATGATTTTCATGTATCATTTTGAAATCATTCCAGCATTCTTTATCATTTTTTTATTTGTTATATTTCTATTTTCAAGTAATTTATGTGTTTCATTTTATTAATAGATTATTTTATTAATAATTTGCATGCCATTAATTTGTTCTCCAACATGTTTGGCTTATTAATATAATTGCCTTTTTCTTTTAAATATATTTTTAGTTTTTTATTTTATTTTATAAAACTACATTTTACAAAATATGTATATCTAATTTAACATTAATCAATTAATAATCACAATAAAATCAAAATTATTTTTTCCATATCAGCGGCTGAATAAACCAAATAAATAAATTAATTAAATACGAAACTCAACTCTCTCTCCTCCCTCAAAAAAAATAAACAACTCATTCTTTCACAGTCTATCGAAACGTATAATTGAAATCATTTGCGATATAAACAATGTCCTGCCTGAACGTTAATCGAACAAAAACATAAGTTGCGCAAAACCAGTTTGTACACCAACCATCCTATATTGCTATTGTTGTTGTCGTTATTCTCGTTATTTTGATGTTCGTAATGAAAGAAGAAGAACAAAAGAAAATTGCAATATTTTAGTATATATTTTTTTTTTCTTTTTTTATTATTGCAATAATAAGAAATACAACATCCTTCAATTCCCGAAATAAACTTTAATTTTTCCAATTTTTTTGGCTTTTGGTTTTTGAACACCATCCACCAATACCAACCTCCACCAACAACCACCACCACAACTACTATCCTTCACTAGTTAACCGAAACCAAAGATCACAAAAACAAAATTATAAGAAAAAATAATTGAGATTTTATATAACAACCCGGTATTACTTTTAAAACGTAGTATATTTTCCAGGTACCGATGTTAAGGTCTATACTGTGGGTCCCGACTATGCCCATGCCGAGGCACGTAAAAGTCCAGCGTTGGATGGTAAAGTGGAACGTGACAGCGAAGGCAAAGAGATACGCTATCCCGTCATACTGAATCATGCTGAGAAGCTAATATCACGTAAAGTTTGCTTGGCTTTTAAACAGACCGTCTGTGGATTTGATTTGTTGAGGTAATGTGAAATTTGAATTTTTGTTGTATTAAAATTAAAATTTTTGTTGTATTAATATTTACTGTTATAGAGAAGTTTTTCCGAATTTAGTTATTATTATTTAGTTCTTATTTATAGTATTTGCACTACTTTTCAAGCTATGTCTTTATTGCCAAGTCCATAGGGTTTGGTCATATTTAACAATTGTCTCGTTAGCCAAAAAAAAAAAAAAACTAAATAATTTCCTTACTATTTGCTATCAGAATGTAAGAGGGTTAAATACAAAGTTAATTCGCTTATATAGTGATAGCCTTGGTTTTGATTATAACATTATAGTATTTTCTGAAACTTGGCTTAAGACATCTGTGCGTTAAATTCAAAATACCAAAAGATCGGATTAGTAAAATTGGTTGTGGCGTCCTTGCTTAAGAAGTCATCAGATTAGATGTAGCTATTACATTATTTAGTGGTTCTTTATCTCGGAACTTTGATCCATCGTGCTTATCTTGAGTACCTGAAAAGGGGGGATATAACAGAAAAAATTAAGGTTATATGGGATATAATTTAAAGGTTATAGCTTATCCAGGATAGATTTTTGTCAAAGTTACAAATTACCGGAGTAGAAGGTTTGAATATCATTCTCGTAACTTCCAAAGAGTTGATGTCTACGGTTTCCTAGCATTTAACACCTATATAAGAGGAATTCGATAGTTTCCTTCTCTTTCTCAACCTCTCATTAACGACAATAGTCCACTCACAACAGGACACGCAGAATCAGGTCTTTTGATGATCCATACAGTATGATTCCCTTGTGATAACAATGAAGTAGATCTACATAGTTTGAGGTTGTGCCCAGGGTTCCCCAAACCATCTAATTCCTGTGGCAGCATATATAAAATAATTAATAGGTGGTATGACAGACCAGATCAAAGACTAATGACTTGTGCAGAACAACTTAAGAATCATGCACCATTTTTTATTAAATTTATAGTTAGCAATTTAATTACGTTAAGGGGGCCATCTGACTATCAACATGTATAGCCACGGATCCTAGTATTTTTTTACTAAGTTCTTCGACCAACCAAATACACTACAGTATTAGCTCCCTGTAACAGTGCCTTCATCGATCTTGTAGTCATTTATATATATTAACGGGCCAGCTAGAAGTTAAGAGTCACTTGCTCAGGATATCCTGCTTGTAATATTTAGTTTGAAATCCTCGAAATCGATGTAGAAGGATATATACTCACTGACGTAACTATCACCTCACTATAACCTCGGATCGATCACAATTTGCTGCATGGAACGTAATCAACAGGTCCAGTGACTTTAGATTAATAATTACTCTCAAATCTGATTGAGGTTTACCTCTGAGGGTCATAGTTACTAGAAGCGATAATAGTGTACATGGATAAGACCTATCTTTCGTTCATCTACATTCCTTTTAGCTGTTATTTTGTGTTTCGATATATTCTGATGAGAACTCTGAAGCCACCTTATTCAAGATAGGTAGAGGGAAAT